CAGAATGGAGAGTCGACGAGTCTGAGAGCTCGATGATCCATGTAAACGAGCAATTTGCACCGGATCTTAACGTTGTTGCTCACGCGCCCACTACTATCTGAGAAATATCTTGGTGGCGGATTTCATGCTAGATGATTCAGATATGCTTTCGCCTCGGCAAAAATTTACTAATGTGCAGAATTTTATCTCTATACATTTGTACAATAATAAAAAAGAATTGAACTTCTTTTAATAGGTTTCGTTTTTAATTTTAGATTGTCGATATATATTAATTCAGATTAGAACATCTTTTTTCTTCAGATATCAGTTCACAATAATAGAAGTCTTTCATTGAATCATATTCTCAACTTGATTTTTATTATAAAAATTGTATTCAGAGATAAATACTTTCAAATATCAATAAATATCTGGCTTTGGATTTATTTTAAATTTTAATTGTATAACTGTGAGATATTTATATAATAAACAAATAGAGAGTTCAAAGAGCGAATAAGAATCAATGTATAAGAGCTTATTTTTTTTTTTAAATAATGAGTATAATTACTTATACTGATAACTACATAATTATACAAAAAAATTGAAAATTTGTATATATTTTCTTACGAATGAATACTTAATAAGAACGCATTACATTACATGTTTCGGCTGCCGAGTTGAGCTCGGTTTTTCTCATAGATACAAAAGTTATAATATATCAAAATATAAAATTACTGCGTTTTTGTATATGTGGTCGTAATTAATTATATTCGTCATAAGTAATTATATTCGTTATTAAAAAAGAAAGCTTTTATACATTGAATTTCATTCACCCTTTGAATTCTATTCGTTTATTATTTGATATTGAGAGTCCTGTACTTTTGAAATACTTTTATTTAAATAAATACACAATTTATTTAAAAAAGAAGCTAATCTTAATCAATATTGATGGGTCCAATAATGCAAACATTTTTTTCAATTATGTTATAAAAAATTGTTTACGTGTAACAATTATTTTTATGATCTATATATAAAATTATGATAATCATTCTTTGGATTTTGACCTAAATGAAAAAATTTATTTAATTACGTTAACTTAAAGCAAAGATATATTAATTTAAAGTTTACATCATGTAAATATCACTTAAGAAAATTTCGGAATACCAATTAAAAGTTAATAAATGTACGTAATAATAAAAATGTATTATAATATTGTGCGATACATGCAATTGTTTTTAAGATTGCTTAAATTTCAGAAATAATTTATAGTTTAAAAATGTATGAAAAGAACAATTACAGTGTCATAGTTACAATAACATAATGATCTTGAAATTAATCTTATTGCAGTTAATCGAGGTCATTCGATGTGCGATGCTATCACAATTAACTTGATTGTGAGTTTATCGGACATCATTATTGTTCGTCTCGTAAATCGATCTATGTTGCACAAATGCAATCGCGCTCTATTATTGTCTGACTTTTATAGATTCTCATCTATGATGATCTTCTCATTTATGATGATAATAGAAGAGATAATAGTTCGATATTAACAAAGACTATTAAATGAAGAATCAAATGAAAGAAAATAGGTTTTTGTATATCTTGATAAAATCTTTTTCTGTAAATGTCCATCATTGAGAGTTATCGAAATATTTCCAATCTGCAGACGAAATATAATATGATAAACATTCCAAGAAGAGAAAAACCATCTGTATTAGATCTACAAAGAGCATTGGGAATAATCTCGACTGTCTCGAGGCGTGAAATCGTCCAGCGTTCCACAAACAGGTATGTGTCGTATAAAAATCCAGCGTCGTCGCTTCGGGCATTAGACAGAGCGGATGCTGACGATATATGATCGATCCATCAGTAGCTACTACTATGCCATCCGCAGGAAGAAGTTGCTCGGTATTTACAGTTAGACGATCGACCGGTCCGATGACGATCGAGCGTTGCTTTCGCTCCTCGTTCTCGAGGTGAACGTTTCATTTCTGTAATTCTTGTTTTAATCCTTAATGTTAATCAAGATCAAGTTTTTTTTTATAATATGGCTGAATATGTTGATTATTGTCCGATTAACAAAAAGTACATCGTAAAAGGAAATCAATTGAGCACTATTTCCGTATTTAAAATTTATGCGCTGGGTTTGTAAAAAATATTTAAAATATAAAAATATGAGAATTTTTTACAGCAAGTATAATATAGTACAATAAAAGATACAGACATTTTCCGATATAAGCAGACGTGATCCTGATAGTTATAAATGTCTATGGTTTAGTAGTCTCATTTTTTCAAGAGATTTAGATTACTTTCTAAAATTTATATTGGAATTATATAATGAATATTAAATATATGCAGATTAAAGCTTTAGCAGCAAATGAAATCTTCTTAAAGAAGAGAAGAGTTTACAAGTCTACTCTCGCTCTCTATTCTATATCGTTGGATGGATTTATTAGTTTATGTGAAGTTTATCCTATTAATTAGAAAAGTCATTTATACATATAAAATATCAAAGCTATATATAAATTATGGGATATAGAAAATGCATAACTAATCGAGACAAATAATTATAAATCTGGATAAAACAGAAAAAAAATTATTATAATTATGTAATTAATATTTTTCACAAATATTATTTCTTGAAAAATATAAATTTTAACATTTTTGATAAACACTCTTTAAGTTAATTGTCCATCTTATTTTCGTGACTAGTCACCACAAAAAAGTACTCGACTAGTATTTCTAGATTGTCAACTTAACATTGAACACTTATTCAAATCATCGTAAGAAAGTCCTTTTCAATGGATATGTCCGACACAAAATACGATTGTTCAATTAATCAGTGTAATCATTTTATATTTGTGATCGTTCGCATTAAACAACGCCAATCATCCATATGCGAAGCAACTGCTGCTAATTAGTCGCTTCGAGATTGAACAAAACATCCAGTGTCGGTTTGAGTAATATATTATTTATCACGAAAGTAGCACATCGAATAAGCAGTGTCATCAAATGAAGTATTAAAACATTTCGCCAGAAGGAACGAGAGGGACAATGATCTTTTAATGTAAGCTTGATTTATCTCAGATCTGTTTTAAGATAGAGCATTTAATACTCTTTCTCTCAATATGTTCTCATGCAA